GGCCGGGAGGCAGCGTGGCAGGCTGCCATGGCACCTTGCTCCCCGAGGATGCAGCCTTGGGGCACAGAGCCACTTCGAGGTGCCCCAGGGTCCTTCTGAGGGCGGTGGTACAGGGGGAGAGAGAAGGGGGGAAGAGAAAACCTGGAGCCCAGCTCTCCTCCATCCCCATGCTGGGGTCCCTGCGGTCACAGCAACACGGCCTAAGAGGATGCTGGCGCTGCGTTTTGGGTCGGCTCCTCGCCTGGCAGCCCCACTCCAGAGCCACGTTTCACACCAGAGCCCGAGATGCCTCATCCCTGTGTCACCGAGATCAAAAGCGGTGAGGCCAGGACGAGCGTGTGCCGGGTGCCTTTGCCTCGACGGCGTGAGGCCAACCGGAGGGATGCCGGATGCCACGTGGTTGGAAACGCAGCTCCCAACAACTCAAGACCCTCATCCCTGCCCAGGGATCCCTGCCCAGCCTCTTCTCGTGCTTCTTCAGCAGAAGAGCAAAAAAAAAGCATCTCTGCCCACGCTGGACCAAGCCCATGACAGACTTCCACCATCTAAAGGCTTAAAGCAGCCCTAACTTCAGCCTCTCCCAAACCATCCAAGCACCCACTGCACCTCAAAATGGGGATTTTTTTTGGGATCACTTTCAAAGATCCCAAACACAGATGAGAGTTTTATGGTTCATTTTCTCCTTTCAAGACAGGGGAGCGCAGGAACCGGCTCAGCAACCCGTCCTGGAGGGAAGGGAATGGGGCAGCACCGTGTGTCCCCCCGCCCCCCTCCAGCACCCTGCACCCGGGGAGGGCTCCTGCCCCACCAATGCACCCGCGGGTGGGCGCAGCCTCATTTTCAAGCATCTCCGGTGCAGATGAAGGTCACGTTTCTTCACAGCCTGCGTGGGGGACAGCAGGACCAACCCAAGACACCTCGGGAAGGCGGGTTTGGAGAAACGCACTCAACTAGGGAAGACCTGAACCAACCCGGAGCAACCTGCTCCCTCCTCTTTCCCCAAGGAACAGGGACCCCTAAAGCTCTTCCAGCCTTTCCCCCGAGGCTCAGGCCGTGCGACTGTTTTCTTGCCCTGCTCCTCCCGAGCAGACAGCTGCAGTGAAGGCAGCCCCTGCTGCTCCAGCGTAATGGGCTCCGGCTGTCCGTGCCCCACCTGAAACCACACACAGCCTTTGTTTCGGCTCTGCTGGCGAGAGGGAACAGACACTTCCAGAACACCCCTTGGAAAGGGAAAAAAAAAAAAAGTCTCCGTGACTCTTCCCTGACCAGGCTTTCACCTCAGCTCCAGGGTTTTCCAGGCTGCAGACACGATCTCATTTCCCCCCTGCCCCCTCCCAGCCCCAGCAATTACTACTTAAGCTGTTAAAACAAGCGTGGCCAGTCTGGTACGAAGTGGAAAATCTGATCCCAGGGAAGTGAGCAGGCAGGGGAAAAGGGAGGTCAAGGGGAGGTGGGCTGGGAGCGAGAGAGAAAAGGATCAGGCGAGGAGAAACCTCCCTCCACCCCAGCAGCAACCCCCCTTTCTTCGGGGCTCCCGGCTCCGAACACCAACCCCAGCGACAGGGCGGCGTGAAGGGGGGCTCCGAGCTCCCTGCGGCATCTTCTCCATTTCAAAGTAGCATTTATCCCAGGCTGACTTGCAGCTTGTTCCAGCCTGGGCAGGATGGGTGAAGACTGCTGCAGCACTCAGTCCTCGCTCCCCCAGCATCGCCCATACCCAAAAGAGGCGATTTAAGGCTTCAAGTGTTCTGGCAAAACCTGTCCCCGGGACCAGGGACTGCGCCCGACCCGACGCACACTGCCGGGGAGCCCGGCTTCCTACAGCCACCTGCGCTACTAAACGTGCGGCAGACGAGCCTGCCTTTTCTTAAGAGCTCCACTACCCAAAAATCAGCAATTCTGTAAGAATCAAGCCTTCAATAAGAATAAATTTAGCTTCTGCATATACAGAGAAGGGCAAAACACCACCAGAGCCAGGAATCATGACTTTCACGACTCCCCAGCAAATGTAATAAGAGTTATTTAGTGGATGACTGGAAAGTGGTGATACACACCTGCACCAAAATCCCCAGTTTTGGACAAAACTGCTACCTTTTCCCTCCAATCTCTTCCCAGCGCCCCCTCTCCAAAATTGATACAGCTTCTCCACCTTTCAATGGATAGTTCAGAACAAAACAAAAAAGACTTTAATTTATACAAAACAAACCCACATATAATCAGTTGAACAACATTGACTGTACAAAGGAATAAAAAAATAAAAGGATAGTCCAAAAAACTCAGGAATGGTACAAGTGTTGGAGAGCAGCTACAGACTAGTGTTGACATCAGATGCAAGAATCTTTTCCTTTTAAATTAAAAAAAAAAAAAAAAAAAGTTTTTTGCTGAGCAATTGCTCCAGGTAAATCTTTCATCCTCACTATGGACAGGATCTGCTCAGACCTTACAGGGTGAAAAACCAAACCCAACCGCAGGGAAAAAGGCGTGGGGAGGTGTCACACGTGGCAAAGCCAAACCAAGCAGAGGTACACCAAGTTCTTCTAGACATGCAGCAGCTGTGTGATTTGGGGAAGGACACCTTCATCCCTCTTCACCCTGCGCACCGGTGTGCGGGAGCAGCCTGGCACAGGGGCCCCGCGGTGCCCGGGTGATGTTTCCCCGGGAGAAGCCGCCTCTCGCGGTGCCGATCACCTGTTGGCCGTATATCCCCGCGCTGCTGAGCCAGCGATTGTCTTCTGCTGCGTGTGAAGTGATGGGAAACAGGTGCCGGCCAGCCCAGACAGGTTCTCCAAATCCCCCGGCCTTCGCGCCACCGGGCCGAGCTCGGCTGCGCCTTTGCTCTTGAGCCAAACCACCACTACAAAGGATTCTTCTCCCCCCTCTCCATCTGCCCGGGGTTTAATTCTCTCCTCGCTCATTTGAGCTAGGCAATAAAGCACGCTAGAGACGAGCCAAGAGACCGACCCCTGTCTTGGATTTTGTTCTGCAGAGCGGGGAGGGGGAAGGCTCCTTCACCTCCCGGGCCAGCTCAGGAGCGAGGGGAAGGAGACGTCCTCCGTGGAGGGATGCGCCCCCGCACGCTGCCTGAACAAAGCGGGTCCGTCGGCCGCGCAGGAAATCATTCTGCCCGTGCAAGGCAACAAGCTGCTCTGGGGCGGGGAGCAGAGCAAGGCCGGGCCTCGGGGAGCTGCTAACACCAGGAGGGAGGCGACAGCACCATACCGGCTGGTGGCTCCTGAGGAGACGGGCCCAGCACAAGGAAAAGCAGTTCACTCTCTACCACGCTCCTCTCAACCCACACGTCCTGGCTGCCCGCGAGAATCTGCCGACGTAGCTTAGTCCCACTGCCAAGCCCCGCTTTGCTTTCGCCATGAGGGCCAGGCATTACTTCGAAGTTTCCAGCTGAATTTCCAGCACAGATCGGCCGCGGGATGAAGGCAGGGAAGCACAGGCCCTTGCTTGACACAAGATCTTCTCCCACGGCACGTGCACATCCCAAGCTCCTGCCGCTGAGTGCGCGCGCCCCTCCAAAACCCAGGAGCGGTCCTACAGGGCAGCGTGCTCCCCCCGTCTCCTGGGGCTGCCACGAGGGCCGAGCGAATTTGCTACGACGGGACCTGGGGATTGCTATTTCCCCACACGACCCTTTCGCCTTCCCAGTCCCTGCTCCTTCATGCTCCAGTGGGAAAAGCTGCTTCTGTCCTTTCCCCACCTTCATCCAGGAGGAGCCGCAGCAACGCCAGCTCAGGCAGAACGTCTTTGGAAAAGCAAAGCAAGAAGCAGCCAGGATTTGGGGGCTGTCACAGGGGATGGTGTCGTGGCTGGAGGGCTCTGGAAGCGACGGTCAAGGTTTTGCAGCAATAAGGGACAAAATCCAGCGTTTCTCCTCTGCTCTAGGTGCCAGGGCTCCTACCCTCTGCTCCTCAGTCTGCAATCAGCCGCGCACCAGGAGGTGCAAAGTGAGCAAGGCATCAGTCTGACCTCAGAGCTGCCTCTTCATCCCGCCTGCCGAAAACAAACCCCGAGACCCTGGCTGCTCCCCTCTGCCCCTCGATCCACTTAGGTCCCACCCTGCCTTCGGCACTCACAAGTTTTAGGGAATGACTGGAATAAAGCAGCTTGGGGTATGTTACACATGAATCGTTCTTTCCTTCTGCATATGTAGTATTTAAAAAAAAACCCAGCGCAAGCCCAGGTGGTGATTGAAAGTCTCTTAAAGCATTTGTGTATTTTCATCGGAAAATTCTCCACTTCTCCCCCTTTGCTGACACTGGGATAGTTAATCCAGTGCTTGTATTTACATGGCTGCATAAAATTTTCCCTGACTGCTTCTTAAAAAAAAACCCTTAAAAAACAAGTGATATATATATATGTATAATATTTACATAAATAAATGAAGGCGGCAAGCAGACTGCTTCCATCCCCTTTCTAATTGGCCGACTCTTGCCTCATTTTTTTTTTTTTTTTTTTTG